GGGATTTTTTCGGTATAGGGACTAAAAAGGGGCTTTTTCCTATAGTAGAGGGACCAAAAAGGGTATTTAACCTAAATATTATCTCTCTTAATAATTATATATCTTACAATATTTTTAAAATTTTAATTAATAATTAATATAATAAAATCTAATATATTTCATCTATAATATTTTTAAAATATAAATAACCAAATAGCAAAATAACTTTCAGTCACGATTACAATACAGTATAGATTAGCATTGTCATAACCACAACTATAGCTATAGTTACAATCATAGCACTTCACAGCAATTCCAAACACATCCTAAAGCTGCTATGGCTTTCTGTAGTTTAAAGAAAAAAAACAATTTGAAAAAGATTATCAAACACACATATATCTAAAAGTACTATACGGTTACATGAAAAAACTTCCAAACGCAATCTCAAATGCACCCTTAAATTTTTTAAATTTGTTATAATCATTAAAATATTATAAATTATGATATAATTAAATTATAAGAATTTAGATTTTAATATATAATTTTATAAGTATGTTAAATATTAAATTTTTTTTTTAAATCACAGTTAAAAAATTTTAAAATGAGACTTTTAACTTTATACATAAAATTATTATAAATCTACTATAATTTTTTATAATTTTTAAATAAAACAATTTGAAAAAAATTATAAAATGTATAAATATATAAAAATACTGTACAATTATATAAAAAAAATTTCCAACCACAATTTCAAACGCACCCTTATTATGCAACCATACCGATGCCCAACCATTTCCTTCGTAAGTTGGGATCAGTTCACTCCTTTAGGGATAGGGTGCTCAGTGCTGGCCCCCCATCCTCCACGCGGTGGACTTGTCTTCGGTATTATTAGCTGTTATACCGACTACTAACTCTAGAAGGAGGCCCATGACCGCTCCTGTAGATATGGGCATCTTGTTGCCAAGCCCAAGTCTTTAATAAGTTAAAAAGAAATAAAGAAACTAAACCATAAATAAAGAACTTCCGTTTTCCTCTGCCTCATTTTTTTAATAATTAGATAAAAGATTTGTCTCATCTGCACTCAATTCAAACAGTACACTTAATCATATGATAATGTTAAGAAAATAAATTTCTTAAATAATTACTTTGAGACATTTAAATCTAGTCTTAACCTTGATTTATGAAAAGTTTATTTTAGAAAATCTAAAAATTTACTCGGTTCCTAATATAGTGTTATCATTCCGTTCCTATTTAAGAAAAAAAAAAATCGAATAAAAGCAATGCAAGCATCAACAGGTCATATGTCAAGTAAAAAGGTGCTCCCATTAGCACAAAAAAACCAATCATTCAGCATCCGATCGATAGACAGAAGGGAAATATGTCATCCGTATCAAATTAATGGCATATACAGGGGCAATGAAATTGTTCCCAGAAAGCACGCAGGCATCTTGCATCTGCAAACTAATGATCATATATGCAAAAGGGATAAATTCAAAGATCCTCACCACCATCCGGATCACGTAGCCATATCGAAACACATCTATCAGCCTCAGTAGCTTCATCCATCCTCCTGATCATTTGCATCATCCTCCTGTTCCACATTATTAGCTCTGGCGTTTGCAGCCTGAAATTGAGGACCATTGGCAGCAATGTTGGCAGCATCTCTTGGAGGGGCCGAGACATTGGTCTCCCATGCTACATCACTCTCCAACAACTCATAGTACTGAAAAAAGGAGCGTGGCACAACTACTGGTGGATTATCAGATTGAATGGCAACGTTGTCATCAATGGGATGTCCCTGACCTATCAAAGTCAGACCTTCATTGAACTGGTATTGGAGAGATGGATTGCGCAGAATAGTGTCCAATAGACGCAAGTTTAGAAATTCTGAACCAATATCCATGGACTGCAGCACCTCCTTCATCAAATTCCAACCAAGGGTCACAGCATTGATCATCTGTAAATCAAGTGCATCCTTGGAAATCCTACTCTTCTCTGCCAGTTCAGCCTTGAGCTTGCCAAACCCCTCCTCCAGCCCCTTCACTTGTTTGTTCAAGTTGTCAGCTTCTTTCTTCTTTTCCTTGAATTTGCGGTTAGCATCAATAGCAGCAGCTGCAACTTCCTGCTGTCTTCTTTTAGCATCATTGAGCTTCACACATTGCTAATGAAGTTGGAAAATAATCAATTAAAGAGAAGAAATAATTCAATGTAAAAGAGAAGTTGGAAAAAATAGAGATCCAAGAGGAGAGGGGCTTAAGTTTACTGACTACATACCTCCAAAAGATCGTACACGCTAACTTCTTGCTTGCTCCCTAGTCCAAGCTCATGATGAGGTGGAGGTGCCGGTGATGAGGTGGAGGCCTCCTTATCATGAGTAGCCTCCCTCATTTGTATTTGTGTACCACCCTCTAGTCCCACTGTTTGAATCATTTCACTTTCAAGGTTCTGCAGGTTAAGAAAATGTTAAAACGGTAGCCGTTCTATAATTAGAAATGCAACATAACACCCACATATACCTCCTCCAAAGTTGTCCACAGGTTCTGCAAGTTAATAATTAAAATTGTTAAAACACTAATTCCATGGTATATACGTAATTACAGCATCATCAAAAGATAAAGCAGCAAGATTGCCATACCTTTAAAGGGTTTTTCAGAATCTTTTGAATTTCCTGCAAGTTAAGAAAAAGTTAAAACAGAAATTTCAGACATGGAATAGCGTCAACATTATTAAAAGATAATGCAGCAAAATATTCCCAACCTCGTCTTGGCTTGCTTCATTTTCCTGGAAATGGAATTTAAGAGGAGTTGGAAAGAGTCAGATAAAGAGTGATGCAATTAATGTAGTAAATACTACCAAAAAGAAAAGATGGTTGGAAGGAAGTACCAAAGCTTCAGAAGCCATCCCCATCGCTTCACATAATTTTCCCTGTTGCTCTACCTTGACATATATTAAAACAAAGATTAGTTAAGTAATAAATCAAGGGAAAAGGAAGTAAAATTTTATTGTTCAATCTTTTTCAACGGCATTTATATATATATATATATATATATATAGAATTACTACTGCATAAAGAAAAGTTTTGGATAAAAAACTCGAAGGGAAAGATCATCACACCTCTTCTTCATGCTTTTCAAGAAAGGCTTCCAACTCTTCAGTAATCCCTTTCTCATCACAAAATTTCTTGACCAGTTCGTTCCGTTTCTGAAGACATAATTCAAACAGAAAAATCTTTAATTACAAAGAAAAACTTTCACTAAATTCAACTAAATTAACAATTAAAACAGAATAAATGAAGTTTTTTTTTTTACGCACACTACAAATATATAATTCAAAGTAATCTTTAATTACAAAGAAAAACTGTCACTAAATTCACCCTCAATTATAATACATGTGGAAACAACAAGACATCGCTTTACCTTCTTATTTGCACGATAATCTCTATCCTTTTTAATTTTCTTCTCGTGCCTTATCTCCTCTTCAACTGATCGTTGCTTCGGCGGACTTCCTCCTCCTATTTTGTTGTTTTTTCCTTTCCCTTTTGTCATTTTCAGTTACAATCTTTGAATTTCTGCAAAAATAAACGTTACTAATTCGAGTTAACTCTCATCTCATTAACCCAGTGAGCAGATCTGGTCATGGAAATAGAGATTCAACCAAACAAACAAAGACACAGTGTGGAAGTCATAACCCCCAATAAAATTAAAATAACCAAGCATGTATGGTATTCAAATCATGATGAAACAACAGAATCTCTTTACAAGATGAAAAAATGGACTCACACTCACCACTCACCAGTACTGACGAACACTAGTGAACCCAAATCCTCCCTTGTGGAGAAGCTCCTGAGCAAAGAGTAAAATTAGCATTTGATGAGGAATTTATAGGAAGAAAGAGCAATTTCTTTAGCTCGAGCCAGCAGTCTCCAGAGCTCGAGCTAAGATATTATTTATTAATGATATATATCCATTTTCATATTAATTTAATATTTATAATTTTTTAATCAAAATAATTTTATTTATTAATACATATTTAATAGTATTAAGTTTTTTTTATAATTAATAAAATAATTAAATTTACTAAATTAATATAAAAATTTATATTAATAAAACTTTCAATTCAATAATT